GGTCCTGGAGGGGTCAGTGTGTGTCTGCAGCAGGGCTGTCCAGTCCTGGTCCTGGAGGGGTCAGTGTGTGTCTGCAGCAGGACTGTCCAGTCCTGGTCCTGGAGGGGTCAGTGTGTGTCTGCAGCAGGACTGTCCAGTCCTGGTCCTGGTGGGGTCAGTGTGTGTCTGCAGCAGGGCAGTCCAGTGCTGGTCCTGGAGGGGTCAGTGTGTGTCTGCAGCAGGGCAGTCCAGTGCTGGTCCTGGAGGGGTCAGTGTGTGTGTCTACAGAAGGGCTGTCCAGTCCTGGTCCTGCAGGCGTAAGTGCGTCTGCAGCAGGGGTGTCCAGTCTACGTCTGGAAGAGTCAGCACCTGAAGTCCTGGGAGAAGCTGTTCAACTGGTCCAATCAAATCAGCAACAAGCTGATTCAGGTCAGTAAGAGTCTATAGACCTGACTCCTCTCCTGGACCAGGCGTGAACCCCCCTATTATAAGGTGGCAACCATGGTAAAGTTCACAAGATAGAGAACATCCTCCCCCTTTCCCCACAGAAAGTGGACTAATCCGCCCTTCCTGGAAGAGAACCCCCATCCTCACCCCCCCACCTCAGTGGAATTGTCTTGCCTTCCTGAAACAGGAATACAGAGAGTTTTAATTAGATGAGGAATTGTGGTGAGGTGAGGGAGGTGGAGAGGGTGAAAGAGAAATACTGGGAGCAGGAGAGAGGGGTTTGAAAGAGGGAGAAAGGTGAAGAGGGGTGTGGAGAGCAGGACAGCGGGCAGGATGATCAGAGTGAGAAAGCTGGTGAGAAGAGAAGGTAAGAGAGACCGTGAGTGAAGGACAGGGAATGGGATATTTCTTCGGCCTTTCTCCCTCCCTTGAGCTCCTCCTTCTGCTCTCTCTACACCTCTATTTGTCCCTGGTTCAGATGGACCCTCAGCTGCTGGGCTCCATTCAGGATTTTCTTCTGATGGCCCAGCAGGGACACCCCGAGTCTCCGGATATCCCTGGGAGCACAAAGGAGAGAGAGCTTGCAAACGATTCTCGTCGGCGGCTCCATGGGTCCTCAAAAAGCTCTTGGAACTGGAGAGCCGGGGACACGGACAGACGCACAAGCGGACAGACTCACTCGAGCGTCAGGCCAGCTGCAGCTTCCAGGGAATGGAGCTCGGCTTGGTCGAACTCCTCCTTGTAGCGCCCCATCTTGAGCGCGTCCAGCCAGTCTGACACGGTCAGCACGGCTGAGAAATCCGGCGGCGCGTGGCTCAGCAGGGGCTGCGAAGGCCTGAGAGAGGAGCGAGGGGCTTGCTGGATGAATTTGTGCTGAATTAACAGTGGGCTGGAAGGGGAACACGACACCTCCCACAGGACTCTGCTGACCTCTGCTGGTGCACCTGAAAGCTGTAGCTCTTCGTCAAACAAAAGCTCCCAGAAGACTTTGCTGCCTGAGCATCACATGGCTATTGTCAGATGCACCATGGGAGTTGAAGTTCCCCATCTGTCTCAACCGTGCACTAGCAATGTTTAATCATCTAGGTCACCTTCTATGAATTAGCCTGGCCATCCCTTGATTTTTGTTTCATAAAATAGACACATATAAAATGGTAAATATACTATTAAGGTATATGTCCTAATATTGTGTGAAGAAATGGTCATGTAGTCCAGGTGCACAATGGGAGATGCAGTCCATACTATAGACTCATAGACAAGCACTCATTGAGCTCCTCTCTCTTAAAAACTACATCTCCACTGACACCTTGCTTTCCTAACGTTGGGATCTGTCAGTGCATGATGGAAGCTGTACTTTTAGTCTGTCTCACCTGGTGGTTGTGACAGTTTTGAGCATGGAGGGGTGTCTCATGAGCCGGTCCAGTGTGGAGACGATGTTGTCGAACCCGGGTCTTTCTGTCCTCTCCTGGGTCCAGCAGTCCAGCATGAGTATGTGCAGAGCAGCTGGGCAGCTGGGAGGAGCAGGCAGGCGGTACTGATCTGTAACTGCATTCATCACCTAGAGAGAGCAGGAGAGTTAAAAGGAGAGTTCTAGCCTTTACACATAGAAGTACCAGGACTACGCAACAGTGGCACCGCACTGAGACAAACGCACAGCACGGTAGGAAAGTGACAGAGATTGGAAAGGAGAGAGCACAGCGGCACCTAACCTCCTGATTGCTCATGTCCCAATATGGGCGCTCTCCGTATGACATCACTTCCCACATGACGATTCCAAAGCTCCAGACGTCGCTTGCTGTGCTGAACTTTCTGTGCTGAATTGCTTCTGGGGCTGTCCACCTGACTGGAATCTTAGTACCCTAAAAGACATGGAGAGGGTTATCAAGAACATATTAATATTGATCCTAATGTTGGAGACACACCTCACACACAAAGATTAATACAGATACTAATATAGACCCTAGAGACAGTCCTCACACACTGAGATTAATATAGACCCTAATATAGACCCTAGAGACACTCGTCACACACTGAGATTAATATAGACCCTAATATAGACCCTAGAGAC